GTGATAGGATTTAAACGAAGATGCGGCAAAATTGCCATATGAAAACATTAAATTGGCAATATTTCGAAAACTAAACACTTTTGGAATATACATTTGTACACAAACTTACACATATCTTAAATACTGAATATGACAGAATTATCAAAAATGGGGGTTTCCATTGGAAAAAATTGATTTTGGGCAGTTTTTCCAACTGTATTTTGAAATTAATTTAACACTTATTAATAGTTTTCAAAATATTTTTGAGATTCCATTAAAGTAAGTCTGTTTGAACAATAAATGGGATTCAAATTAAGCATTGTACATACTTTCCTGACTGTGTTTCAATTCCAAATCAAAATCAATTTGTGGGCTTCAGTGGTTTTAGACAAACTGTGATTCTTTTTTAAATTAATGAAAACTTTTTTTTTACTATCTGTTATTTTAGAGAAACTGATGATGGTGGGAAACACCGAAACGTATTTTAATTGATAAATAGACAATAAATGACTGAAGCCCAGGAATTGATTTTGATTTGGACTCAAATTAAGTATAACAAATTCCCTTATAGGAAAAAATGACTAACTATTCGAGCGGTTGCAACTGCCATTATTTGACATAAAAGTTCAAATATATCGAAAATGGTCAGACTTGGCTATAGGTTACTGTACATGAAACATATTTAGAATGTGGAGTCGAATTCAAAAATGTGATAATATATAGGGTATTCCATTTAAAATAAGCCGGTTATACCGGAAGTGTGGTCAATCTGAAAATATTTCAGACTGCCTGCCCCCAATGAGTTCGGCACACTGTCAAATTTTCAAATTTCTCCAATTACAGTTTGCCAGATATCAATCGCGGCGGTTCCCGGTGGGACACCCTGTATATGGCAAACTACAATTAAGAAAAATTTGAACTGGACATGTCAGGCTTCTTCCAAATATTTGTGTCTTTGCAAACACCTATCGAAGGCTCATTGAGTCRGGAAAAGTACAAGGCAGACAAATTCACGTAGMATCTCCAGAAAGTTACGGTACTAATGACGAAGAAGCCATTCTTAGGGGTTTTCAAGAAGATCCGACGACAAGCAGGTTTATGCCGGAAGAAGCCATACAAGGGAGGAATTAATACAGGGCATTACAGATGCCGTTACACTTAGACAGACATTTTCGGCCAGGGTAACTCCGTCAGAAAAAAACTGGACTTCGTTTTGAGCAAGATCTTAAATAGTTACTGTTTAGAATTAATAAATAACACAATTTTTTCCTTTATCGTAGCAAGCTTGGTACTCATTCAATACTAATTAAATTTAATTACTAATTAAACTAATTAGACTTAATTAAATTTTAATTCACATATAAAGTAATCTGTTATGTAAAAACAAATAAAGAAACTCTAAGRCKGATGTGAACTGCGGCTAGTAATAATTTTTTGTAATACAATTGACTTTGTAATGGCACTGTTTTTGCTGTTTTTACACTAAACCCTATTTAACTTTATTTTTTTACTCAAAAACGGTGCGTTGAAGAAAAAAACTCAAGAGACCTTTTCTCTTCTAAATTCAACAAGAACTTGAAAAATAATATTTAAATTTAGAAACATCAGTGGCGAAACATTGTTTTACTTAAAATTACACAAAACATGTATTGTTGTTGCCTAAGCCTATAAAATTTCATTAAAATAATCCAAGCCGTTTCCGCAATATTAATAAATATAATTTTTTAAGCAAAACTTTAACACCCTGTGTATCGGAAAGTAAGAGGATTCGGATTATGGTTTATTAAGGTAATATATCGAAAATTACTTGCACTATCACCGCCTGCAAGGAATGCATTTACTTACCAAACACCCTGTATACTTAGTACACAAATTTGTTTCACTTGACGTTAACATACCGAAGAAGTTCACGACATACAAGAAAATATTATAAGTATTCTTCTACTCTCATAAACATTTAATTAAAAAAGTAGTTTATTGCTATAGTTAATTTAAGTTAGAAAAGTGTTACCTGAAAAGTTGCAAAGGCAAAACCTATCAACAGCGTACACCCAACTAAACACTTCATTACGTGACTTAGTGATCCAAGTAGCCGACAAAACGTAACTGTACATATGAAATCCTATCAGCTATATAGCCACTTTTCCATATTTTATCAAAATTCTTCATTTCCCTAATCAGTTAGTGCGGATTTCCTTGACAGGCGCCACCACACTCGAGATTTCAAAAACAGTTTAAAATTTTACTCACAATTGATACTAATCCTTTATAATCACTGTGATAACATTCAAATTAAAACGATGGGTGTTGCCATATGCAGAAAAATCAAAATATGTTTCAGAAGAAAAATTGGCTTATCCTAACTGAGATCAGCAGCTATGAAGGATATGTTGGCAAATATGTTTAAACAATTGACTGAAATTGATAAATATGTTTTCCTTTTTATCTCGCCGCTTAACTCGACAAACCTAATCTATACCGTGCTGTTTTTAACGGGACAAAACGGGCATAACCGTGGTTACTATACTGCACTTATTCCGATATATTTCGATTTATTAAGGCATTTTATTAAATCAACACACTTATATATGCTTTACCACACACTACACATAATTCAATAACAATTGGCATTGATAAAATTGAGATATTATCGAACAATGCTGGGAAACAACTAATACATATATGAACTAGGAAAGTAATCGGTCGTCCCTTCAGACTCGTTCATATCAACAATGTCAACAGACATAATGCTCGATAACGAGTACATCAGGGTGTTTCCTCATAAGTTGACCCATCCTAGATCATTTATTTCAAAAAAATTGTGAAAAGTGGTAAATACTAAAGTTGTTCTTTATTCCTATTTTTTTTAAATCTGAAGTTACGATAAAAAAACTTGAAACACGTAAATTTGAAAAATCGATATCAGGTTTTTTTTACTACTAACCTGAGAAGTCACCATTACCCTACTGAGAAGTCATATTTCTCCTCCTCCCAGGTAGCAAACTGTCGTCATTTTGACGTCAATTTTTGGGCAGCTAATGACCGACGGACGTTGAATTGCCGTTATTTTAACGTCACAATGTTTTAAGACACAATGATG